TTTGATGCGTATGTGGCACACCAGCAGCAACAATACGACTAGGATATGGCCTAGTTTTTGGAGCAGTTCGTTGTTATTTCTAGTTTCTTTAGACGACCACCACCACCTCCTTCTGATGATCAGGGCCCTTCATACTCCTAGACTATCTTACTTGTAATTTTTTTTATGATGTTGTTAGCTTTTATTTTGTATTTTTTGTTATGTATTTTTTTCTATTTCTTCCTTTTTGTGATGTCAAAAGGGGAAGTAGTGGTAGTGTTAGTGTATTCATATTGCTTCATTGTATTATTATTTTTTCATACCACTGTTGGTTAGTGTTTGTACCACATGCTTAATTTCAATAAAATTTGAGTTATTTTGTTCATATTGTTTATATTTACCTTATGTTTCATTTATCTGCTTAAGTTGAATTTCCTACCAATGTTTGCCATCATTAAAATGGGGAAGATTGTTACAAATTTGGATTCAAAGATTATAATTTTGATGATAGCAAATATTTTTGGAATTTCTATTTTTCTATTATTGCCCTGCCTACTAATATTTTAGGTCCATAAGGTCAATTGTAAATCATGACAGCTCAAGATTGAGTAGATTTGGACTAAGTCAGTCTATTAGATTACTTTAAGTGATTTTACCTTTTCTTAAGTTAAATGTAACAAAGTGGATCCTGATGCTAAGTAACCTTACAAATACACACTTAGGGGGAAAAATTCTATCTATTTTAGAGTTTTTTGTTTTTGATCATATTGTACAGGATGATCTAAAATCATTCAGGACCATCAATTAAAAATAGAAACCCTATTTAGGGTATCTTAGTTAAGGCAACCAAATTAAGCAAATTGTCTTGGACGATATTAGCATTATCCTAGTTGATATGCTCAAATAAGAATAAAATCATTCGCCATCCCTTTTAGGCATTTTATTATTTTTAGACATCATACAGGATATCATTCTGATGATGTATTACAATTATGCCTAAATTAGTCTGATGATTAAGAAAATCAATTAAGGTTTGATTGATCAATCATATCATCCTAGATGATCATAGGATCATCTTGGATGATAAGTTAAAAAACCTTAGTTTCTTTATGAGTAATATTGGAAAAATAAAATGATGTGCTGGATGATATTTATTGATTTGAACTTATCATTTAGGATGATCCAAGAATCGGCCTAGACGATCAGCTATTTTTTCATCGTCTAATATATAAAGTCTAGTCGAATATAGTGAATCTTTGTATGATACTTGACATTTTAAAATAATCATAAAGGATGATGTACCCATCATCTTGGATAATCAAAACAAATAAATATTCTAATCATCCAGTCCCTCTTAAATCATCTTGGCTGAAATGGCTGAAAAATGTACTGATCGTACAGGACGATCTCTCGATCATCTTTGAAGATCTTTGTTAGTTATTTACAATTTAGGGAAAATTTGAAGCCCTTCTATATAAGATATCTTATTTACTCAAGATTGAATCTTTTGATGTTGTCCTGACCTGAGAGAGCCAAGAAGGAGAGGGAGAGCTTGGGAGAGAGAGAGAGAGGATCTTGTGAGGGGGATTTTGAGAGGGGTTCACAAAGGTTGATCCAAGCAAGGATCTGATTCATCTTCTTCAGTCGTCATCCTTGGTTCCTTGGAGGTAATAGATTGGTCTACTTGAACAATCAATAAAGATTCTCTGCTGTTTTAAGAGGAAGCAAAAGGAGGTCGAGGTTATCTTCCTTCTTCAGGAGGAAGTGAAGGAGGTTGGGTTCTGTGCCTCACCAAAGTGGGTGGAAAGGAGTTTTGTACAAGCTTCTCCACATTGCTGTGGGAGAAAAAGGAGAGTCACTGATTTTAGTGCAATACCTAAAGGAGAGGCTCCGAGGAGTGAACTTAAGTCAAGTTGACCAAACCACCATAAAATATAGTGTGCTCTTTCTTATTACATTTCTATATTTTTAATTTCTGCTCTTTATTTCATGTGGTTGATCATATGCTTTGATGTTTTAAAATGTTTTAAAAGATTGTGAGTTTTATTTAAGAAATTTTAAAACTATCAATTGACCCCCCTCTTGGTTAGCCTTGGGCTAGTTTATAAGGGTTTAACATCCCTAACAAACTTTCAAAATTTACATAATTTCTTCTATAAATATTGACCAAACACTCTTATGAAGTTGATCCAGAGCTCCTTAAACTCCCTTAGTTGACTCTCCTAAGAAAATTTCAAAGAAGCACTACTATTATGACTGGAGTTAAATAAGTGATTGAACACCCCTATGAATATTACAAATGGAATATTTATAAGAAAAATACATAAAATGGACTCTTCTTTCACGACACTCTAGACACTTGCTCCGTGGCACCCATAAAATGAAATTACATCATAGTGATGAAGAATTTCATTCTCTGCGGTGCTTGTTGACATGGACCCATAGTTTAATGAATTGGTCAGTTACAACTATAGCACTGTGATGCTATTGAAGGTTAAGTGTTGTGGCATCTATGTGGTACTCCCCTCAGCTTAGCGACATTGAAAAATTAGGGTTGCATTGTTGTTCAAATAGAAATGGGCTTTACAGTGTTGAGTCCTTAAACATTGCAACCCTACCCAACAAACATTTGGCGCCACCATATCCATATTGAGTGCTTTGGTGGTGTCAATGGAGGTGCCATAGTAGTATATTGTCTGACACTACGGCGTTGTCTGATACTTGGAATTTCATTCCTTTCTCAATTTTTTTTCTCCACAACATAACTAAAATAACATGGTTTCAATAGCAATTTAACATTCTAAAATATTACATTATTTATACTCATCAAATCCTCTCCAGCTTAAACTCCAACTTTCCCCCAAGCAAATAAAATTTTATAATTTTGATTAAGAGATTAATCAAATAAAAAGTGACAATCTAAAATGACTGAAATACAGGATAACACATCACTATCTAGAATTAGTGAAAATGAACAAGGCTATACTTCTAGTTTAAAAAAATATTAATGGTTAAACTAATCAATCATTTAGGTTACAACCTAATTTAAAATTAGAAGTTATAGATTTAATCATAAACTTTTAATTGTTGACATAAATAATTGAGTTTTAATGATTAGATATGATGGTAGTTAAAATTATAGTTTCACTAGTTCACCACTCCTTTTATTAGTTCACATGCATTCATAAGAATGATAAAAGATGCATAAAGCATATGTTGAACATAAAATAATATATAACATAATATTAAACATAACACAGATACAAGATAAATTGTGCACAAGGCGCCCAAAGTTGAATAATGGCTATCCAAGCTAAAATTTTCAATTAAGAGCAAAAAATAGGTCAATATCTCCCATCAATACATTCTTCTTTATAAAACGCATACTATAGAATGAAATAAGTAAACACTTTCTTAAGAACTCTTCACTCTTCTAAACCATAAGGTTTTAATCTATACTTATTGACTTTGATAATTTGTAAAATTTTCTTATCTTGGATTGTGCTAGCATAATTAAAAAAATTCTAATGATTGTATATGGGCCACACTACATCATGTTTTTATTTTTTCAAGGAAATACTTCTCTTTATAATAAAAAAGCATGACATCTTACCCCAAAAAGAGATCATACAAGAAAACTCTATCATCATGCATCTTCCTCATTATGTCAAATCCTTCTTCTTTTCTTTCTATAGCACCTCTTTAAATTTGTGCAACTTATTGATAAAAATAGAACTTTGCATGTGGAGAAGTGAAAAGGTACCTCATTTTTTGGTATAATCTTCATTTTAGTTTTATTGAAGAAGAGGGTTTATGCTTGATCCTTCCCATCACTTATTATTAAATTTCTAAGAAAGTAAGGTTCTCACTAAAGGGCAAGTATGGACTGAGAAGTAAACTTCTCTCCTAATAGACTTATAAATATTCCAACACGCCGTGGGGGGGGGGGGGGGGGGGGCGAGGCCGTATGAAAATTTTTTGAAATTTTATTCATTATGGCTTGTCGGGGTGCTGTGGTGTTCAAAGATATGGCACCACGGCCCTCCCTTTCTCTCTTCATTAAGATTTTTAGGAAGAAAATAAAGTAAAACCTTATCTGGAAGAAAGGTTTTCCTCCCTAGTACCACTATGTTTATAGTTTTCAGCCAAACTGGATAACTAACTTGACCTAAGGTTAGGTTGCCTCCCAAGCAGTGTTAAGTTTGTAGTCTTCAGCTAGATTTTCATAGATTTTTTATTTGGTTATGGTGGATGATTGATACTCTTCAATTGGGTCCCATTAATATATCTTTCCTTCTCCTTATAAATAACTTCAATGTTATTAGGTAAGGATCATATGGGCCTAATTCTCAGAGACATTACAAGCTGACTTAATTGAAATTTCAAGTTTTTTAATTGAAGTAGCTTAATTTTATATTTGAGTTCCCAATTGCATGACCACATCTTCTAATGGTGTCTTAATAGTTCCATGTTAATTGCCTTGATTAAATCTAAGAAAATAAGCTAGTCTTAGATTATTATTAGCTTGATTTTGATTATTAAGATTTATTCCATAGTTATTTTGACCAAAATTCTATTGATTCTAACCATTATTATTTGACCAACTAAAGTTGGGGTGATTCCTCCAACTCTGATTATATGTATTTAAATAGGGATTATTTTATCTTCTAATCAAATTTATATTTTCAATCCCTTAAATATCATTATCTTTCATTAAGATTTTATCTTTTAAATATAAAGATGAATCATAATTTAAGCTTAAAGTGCTTAACATCTTTGATACTGCTGCAACTTGTGCAGTAAAAAACGATAAAGAATCATTTTCATATACTCCTACCACTCTATTAGGATTCATCCTATTAATAGGTCACTAGAAATTATTTATCATCATTTCCTCAATTAATTTATAAGAATCCTCAAAAGGCTTTGACATTAAAGAACTCTCAACTGCATCATCAATTATAGCTCTAAGATATCCTAACAATCCATTATAAAAAATATTAATTATCAACCAATAAGGTAAGGAATGGTGTAGGCACTTTCTAAGCATCTCCTTCAATCTCTCCCAACTTTTATAAATGATTCTCTTTTTAATTGAGTAAAAGAAGTAATATCATTTCTAAGTTTGATAGTCTTAAAAGGTAGGAATTGATTTCCTAGAAATTTATGGGCCAACTCATTCCATATGATAATAGAGCCTCATGGTAAAGAATTTAACCACATTTTTGCATTAACTCTTAGCAAGAAAGGGAACAATCTAAGTCTAATGGCATCATCATTAACACCATTATTCTTAAACATTACATAAATTTCTAAAAAAAGGCTATTAAATATATTTTAGGATGTTCAATGGAAGTTCCTCTAAACTAAGAATTCTATACCATCCAAATGATTGCATATTTTAATTCTAAGTTATTAATTAATTTAGATGACATGTCTATTTATACATTGATGAATTTTGTCTATCATAGGATTTGTAAAAATTTTAAGAGGTCTAGAATAATCTAAGTCTTGAATAGGACTAGCCATATCCAAAAATTTTTTGGTTGTTCTAATTTTAGAAAAGGCTCTCTTAATTTCTAAATCAAAATCTAATAATGATTCCTTTCTATGGCTTCTAAGTGTGCAATAACAATTATGCAATCAGTAAAATAAAAATAAAATAATATAGTAGGACTGATTATGTAATTGATTCAACAATATAGTTAAATTACAAATAAAAAAATTCTTCCCCAGCAAATGACAAAAAAAAATTGATTAGGGGTGGTGGAGTAATCGAAAGACTTCTAAAACTAATTTAGGGCTCTATCAGTCTTTAAATAATGCTTAGGATTTCTTTGATATAAAAAATTATAAAAATCTCATTTAATATATGTAAGTATATGTGTCAAACCAAGTAATATAGTGATAAAGTAGATTGTAAATCTCATGACGAGGAATATTTACTTGTGAATACTAGTATTGTCTATTACAATTACAAAAATTATCCTATTCAATAAAAATAATATCACCAAGCATTTATCCCACTATACGGGGTTGACTGCATGAATCCTTTTTTAACATTATGTCCAATTAAGAGCCAAATTCTCATTTAGCTCTAATAAAGAAGGCCATTTCTAATATTTTCTAACCAAGTTTTTTTAGGTCTACATCTATCTTTCTTAACATAGGTTATAATACATTTACCCTCCTAACTAGGTTATCAAAAGGATGATGTTTTATGTGAACAAACCATCTTGGGCGACTCTCTCTAACCTTATTTACCATTGGAGGTACTCCAACCTTTTTACGTATATGCTCCTTTCATATCCTGTCTCTAAGCGTAAAGCCACTCATCCACCTGAGCATCCTCATCTCTATAACACTTAACTTTATATTATGCTTCTATTTTAATGGCCAATATTATGTGACATAAAGTATTGTAGGTCTAATCACTATCTTATAATTTCAACAATTATCCTACTCAATAAAAATAAGTTTTATTGATGGTTCAATCACTTAATTTAAAAAAAAAATAAATGAAACACTATTTGGATAAAATATTTTTTTATTTTTGGAATGTAAATATAATATTTTTCCTTGTAATTCACTTTTATGTTGATATTATTCAGAGCATATACATCACCAACTACTCAGTCGAGTTGAAGAGATAAAAGATATATTAAACCTTCCATCCTCAATACCACTCTAAACTCTAATAGTCTATCACCCTATAAAAATTTTTAAGTGTAAGTAAAGCATGTACTATTAAAACCTCCTAATTATAATTCATCTCTATAAATTTGGTATTTGTCAAGTGATATGCCTATGCTTGCATCATACCAATCTAATATACATGGTTGTGTCTGCTTTACCTTTTTTTATGCTCCGCATTACACTTGATATTAACTACATGTATAGCCACTATGTGCATTAAATGAATACCTACTATATTGAAAACATCATATAATTATCTATGAAGAGAATTCATTAGTAATCTATATTTCATTTACCCCATAAATCTAAAACTAGAGAATTTAGCCAAACATTAAGAACAATTGAAACAAAATCATTTTCATTAATTATACAATAGAAAGAAAGTACAGAAGAAAAAGATATCAGTGGATGGGTTCAATGATCTCTTCTAAACTCCTTGTTGAACTTTTAGATTTTCTTCCACAAATATTGACCAAACACTCTTATGAAGTTGATCTAGTGTTCTATGAATTCCCTTAGTTGTCATTCCTTAGGAAATTGCAGAGAAGTGTTGTGAAGATTGAAATTAAATAAGTGACTGAACTCTCCTACTAAAATTACAAATGAATTATTTATAGGAAAAAATAAAAATTAGATTCTATCACTGTAGAGCTCTAGACACTTACATCATGGTGCCTATAAAATGAAACAATACTACAGCACTGAAGAATTTCCTCATATGCGGTACTTGCTTATGTGGATATGCTATTTAATAAATTGACATATTTCTTCGCAAAAAGATTATGTCCTAATTGGTTACAACCATAGTGTTTTGGTGCTTCTTACAGTTGATAGTTGTGGCATCCATATGGAACTTCCCTTAGCTTGGTGGTGCTGGAAATTGGTGTCACAAAATTGTATAGAAAAAGAATGGGCTTTATAGCACTGACTCCTATGGATGCTATGAAATAGAGAATGGGCAGTTTCATATCCATATTGAGAGCTCTCGTAATGTCAATGATGATGTCATAATAGTATATTGTCTGACGTTATAGTGCTGCATGATACATAGAATTTCATGCCTTTCTTGTATTTTTTCTACATAACATAACTAAAATAACACAATTTCACTAATATTTTAACATATAAAATATAACATTATTTACACTCATCTAGAATTTAAGGTGAAGTTCTATGGATGGGAAAGGATCCAAGGATGGTCAAGTAGGAGTCCGACGATGGTCAGATGTAGGCAGTGATCCGATGATAGTCAGGAAAAAGTACAGTAGCAGATAATGGGTGGGTGGTAGTCTAGCAATGGTCTTTGATCGGGTTATGGTCCAATGATGTCAGATATAAGTCTGATAGGGGACGTCGACAAAATGGAAGCTTAGTAATATCTATCCAATGATTAGGTAGTAGTCCGATGATAATTAAATGAAAGTTTGATGGCGATCAGTTGTTAGGTGGTATTCCAGCGGTGATTGGCGCTAAATAGTAGTCCGATAAAGATTGTCTAAAAGTCCATTGATAATTGAATGTTCGATTAAAGATCAGTACTGGTCTGTGGCCATGTGGTGGTTTGACAATGGTCTGGTGGAAATCCGATGGAGGTGGTACACGCAAATCGACGAAGGTGCACCGATGGTGGTACTGGAGCTCTTGAAGCCTTAGAGCTCTCTCTAATCTTTAGCAAAAGGTCCCCCTCATATAGAGAGTTGGGGAGTATTTATAGATTTTTGTTTAGTGGCACAACCTATAAATATAAAAAAAATCCATGTTAGGATTAAAGTGCTTCATCGAATGACCTGTATTGATTCTCTCAATCTCAAAGTGTTTTTTAAGTGCTTAATGAAAGTTCGTTAGGGATATTAAGCCCTATAGAACTGGCCCAAGCTAACCAAGAGGGGGGGGGGGGGGGGGGGGGGGGGGGGGTGAATTGGTATTTTAAAAAATTCTTTTCAACAAAAGCAATAAGATCAAAACCAAATCAAACCACAAGAAAAAAATAATGTGGAAATTAAAGTGCGGAAGCAAGAAAACAATAACACAGAAATTTATAGCGGTTCGGTCAACTTGACCTACGTCCACTCCTTGGAGGCACCCTCCAATTATTGCACTACAAAACGTGTCTCTCCTTTAGCCCCCATGGCTATGCGGAGAAGCCCTCACAAAGAAGTCCTTTTTGCCACCCCGGCAAGGCAGAGAACCTATCTCCTTTTGCTTCCTCCTGAAGCTGGCAGAGAACCACAATCCAATGCTAAAAATGTTACCTCTACCAACCCTTCCACAGATAAGAAACTCTAGATGAAGAAGAAGCAGAGCGATCTTGAAGCAACCCTTGTGATCCTCTCACAAGCTTCCCCCTTAAAGATCCTCTCTCTCTTTTCTCTCCTTCAAGGCCTTCTCAGGTCAAGGTAGCAGCAAAAGATTGTTCAAAACGTTGAACAAGAGCTCTTAAATAGAAGAGCTTCAAAGGAGCTCATTAATTGCAAGTTGCCGACAATATTGTCCAGGCCGATATGGATATCGGCCTGGCCGATCAGTACAAATCTCAGTAGATCAGCCAGAGCATCGCCCCTGAATGCAAACTGGACGATTTAAAATTGGCTTGATCTCCAGGCCGATCTCCACGATCGTCCCGGTCGATCAGTTTCAAATCAAAGGAAAATCGTCCAGGAGCATCGCCCTGAATTCGAGCTGGCCGATATTTATCATCCTGAAGTAACCAAGGTTTTTGAGTAGATCGTCAGGCCGATCCTGCGATGTCCAGGACGATGATTGATCTCGTATCAATCATTCCTTAATTTACTCCCTTGATTTATTGATCAATTAAGGCATAATTTGTGAATATCGTCCAACCGATCAAAATGACCGTCCTGACCGATTATTAAAAAATATAGTATACCTTAATTGTCTATGGCGGCAACTCTTTCTTATTTTGAGCTTATCGTCCTGGACGATACACGTATACCAGGACGATCTGTTAATACATGGCTGCCTTAATTAAGAATCATTATTTAGACTTTCTATTTTAAGCCTGATCATCTAGGACGATGTAAATATCGTCCTAGCCGATATGAGTAAAAAAACAAAATTTTTAAGTCTTCTCAAGTGTGTGGTGGTAGGGTTACTTAGCATCTGTCTCTTTGAACATTACAAATAGACTCAAGAAGAAGAATAAAACAAGTACAGACTTACTCAACCCTTAACCTACGCAATCTTGAAACTGGCTTCATTTGTTCGTCCGATCTTCGATTCTCCTGAAAGTAACAGGAGCTCCAAGAGAATCAATTGAGTAAATTTTGCCAAATCCTCAAAACATAAGCCATGAAAATAGATTTGCAAACAATCTCCGCCCTTTTTTGATATGATGGCAAAACACTACGAAGACAGTTAGCAGTAAAATTTTGGGATCGATAAGTGTAAATAAACACATAACTTCTCCCCCT